AGATATCTAATTTACCTGGTCTTTCCACACATTGTATAGAAAGAACGAGATGTAATTCTGCACTCAACCTGACTCATGTCCACTGTCTTTGGTCATGTTAACCCATTACACTGTCTCTTTATTAGGATTGAAGTTCCAGTGATTGTGCCTGATGACAGTGGTCCATGCACACTCTAATTCTGCTATTACTTCAAGTATAAGAATGCCACTGAAAGCACCATTTTAGACATATTTTATCTCAAAGTTTGCCTTAGATATTAATGATGGTAACACTGTCAAAATTAAATATGATTTTTGGCTTCTTACTGGTTATTGTTTTTAGTTTGATAAAAAACAAAATGAAGACAATTTTTGTTATGTATTTGCTTATCCACTTTTTTTTACATATTTTGTTTTTCTCACTGTGTATTACCCAATGTTTTCTACAGATATCTCTGATGCTTTGCTGCAGTAGAATATCAACATGAAGTTCAATATTTTTATTTTCAGTTTGGATAAATAAGAAAGTCATTGTTGAGTCTTTCTTGTTTCAATGTGTTGTATGTCAATTTTTTGTTTCACTATAGAATCAGACATAAAATATGTAGTATTTATATAGCTTAGGACTGCTTACCTACATAACTAAATTTGAAATGTTAGGTTTATTAATCATATCATGTTTTAAGTTAGTGAGCTGTGGAGACTGTATGTAATATTAACACTAGTTGTTATTTCTGTTAACCCTTTCAAGCTTTGTTTGATTTTAGAACATGTCTGTTCAAGTGAAAATGGAACATCCTGATGATCTACTAGAAGTTGTTTCAAAGTTCAGTTACAGTGATGATGAGAATCAGGATAGTTCGTTCTATAACGTTGTGAACCTGACAACAGAAACTGAATTTCAAAGAGAGATTGAATCAGGGTTAGAAAGAACATGTGGTAAGTACAGACATCACCTAAAATGTAACTTTCTTGACACTGGCTCAACACTTACCAACAGACTTGATTGGTATAACTGATCTTGTAACCCTATAGTAAACATAATAAAGAATACAAAAGCATAAGGGTTTTTATACCATATCTTCATGAAATTCTATAAACATTAATAGTATTTTGTACACAAAAGGTGTTTAATTAAGCATCTTCACTGAAAATCTGTTCATGAATATAGGGAGTTAGTGTGATTTGATAGTAAGTGATTTTCTTCTTAAGATTTTAAGTACTTTCTTCATCTTAAAGTTATTAAATTTCATTTGAGTAATCTCTAAAATGTGGTAAATAAATATCAAATGATTCTTTCAGTAAAATGATATTTTGTGTGTTATCTTATTTACATTGTCTCAATCCTTTCATTTGACCAATCTTGTAATCACCATACAAAAATACCAAATACATTTCTTTCTTTCTAGAATGGCTCTAAGTTGTAACATGAAACTACGGTTTCTTTATGTCAAATACCTTAAAACTCATAACAGTATATATCTATTTATATCTAATTTTAATTGTTTTATTGCCCTTACACTTGTGTCTAATTAAAAATCCAGCATTAGTTGTAAATCACTAATGTGCAGCTTATGTCACTGTATTGAACACGTAACGTACAATCTGTTCATGAGCATACTTTATGGAGAATTTTTATCATATTTCATTATCTTGGTTAACCTAACGAGATTGTGATTGATATATTTTAGTAAACTTATTAAACATAAAATATAGAATGCACATCAAAAACAAGAAATATATCAGCTCTGACCTGTTTTTTTGCTGTCAGTTGCTGAATAGGTTTAAGCCTACTTTTTTAGACTTATAGTACAAATACATTAAATATTTATTCAATTAGATAATGCCCCTAAGAGTACAGAATAATAATACACACAAAGCACACAATGTTCTGTCGCTATGATAATTTATCTGGTTTTCTAAATTTTAAAGCTTCCATTATGCTTGTCTACCTAAACATCTTCGTAATCCTATCGCAACCGGACGTGTGTCAAAGACCTGTCATCTAGTTTGTTGACTTGCATTCAAAATTTTATTGAACTACTATTTTATGGATTTATGTCAATAAGTTTGGTATGAAATTCTAGATTATAATTCAAATTTTAGTATTATAAGTTAGTTAATTTCTTAATTTAAAAGTAAATATTAAAAATG